TTAATAAAATATAATTATAGAAAAGAAAAAAAAAGATGAAGCATTTTCCACAATGAAAGACTAGATATGTTCTATGTGCCATTTTTAATCAAGTGTTGATTTTACAACTATGTGAGTGATTCAGTTATACTTTGGATGAATGTTTAAAATAGTTTTAATTAACACTTTTTAAAAGAAAATTTCATTTTAATTGTGATTTTAATGAACATTTACAGAGAAGTTAGATTTTCATTTATTCATTTTTGCACATTTTACCTCTCCTCCACCCCTCTTCCATAATTAACTTTAAAATGTATTGCAAAAGGAAGCAACAGGTGGTAATAATTAAAACCTTGATAAGTTGCCTATGTAGAATGTGTTTCTAGGACTCTTGTTTTTTAACTTCCATTTTTATTTGCTTTAGAAGTAGAAAGGAGCTAAGTAATCAAGATTGTAAGAAGTGTCTGTAGTATTCCAATAATGTTAAAATGATGCACAACAGAAAGTTACTTTTCAAGAAGTATTCTAAAGCTGTCAAGAAATTTTGATAAGTAGTTATATATGAATACTAATAGTTAACTTGCCACCTTCCAGTGTCTTGTATTATTATATGTGTCAGGATAGAATATTCTAGAGTCACTGGGTTTCTATCTATTATTTGTGTGTATATACATATATAAGAAAGCTCTGGTGGTTCAAATCTCTAAGCAGCTGTATGGGAGAAAGACAGACAATCTCCTCCTGTGCAGTTTACAGCCTCTGAATTCACTGGAGGGTCAGCTATGAGTCTGTTCCAACTTGGCAGTGCACAATAGCAACAACACACATAATATATATCTATATATATTTAGTTTACTAGTGGCAAGAAGCCACACTGCAGTCCTAAAGGCTTGTGGTTTGAATCCACCAGCTGCTCTATGGGAGAAGGATGAGCAATCTTCTCCTGTGCAGTTAACTGTCTCTGAAGACAGTGCACAAAACAACTCACATGAATTAACTAAAATATTTTATTGTTGCTTCTACCTTAAAATGATTACTTAGCTAAAGTACAATTAATTACCAGGAGAGCATACAAGCAAAATCCTATCATATTTATTCTGATTTTCATATTGGAATGTGTTTTTGAACATGCCATAGACTTCCAAGAGTACCAACAGGTCTGTCCTGGAGGGAGTGAAACCAAGTGGCTCCTAGGAGGCAAGGATTTTGAAACTCCTTCTCATATACTTTGGTCATATAGCCAAGAGGGTCCAATCTTTGGAGAAGGGTATCATGCTTGGAAGGATGGAGGGACAGCACAGAAGAGGAAGACCCTGGATGACATGGATTGACACAGTAACTGGGGTAATGAGGGTCGGTGTGTCAGAGACAGTGAAATTGGCTCAGGCAGAGCCACGTTCAGAGCTACTATGCAGAGGGTCACTATGAATTGCAAGCAACACGATGGCACGTAACAACAACAACATATATTTCTGACTATAAAGGACTGAGGAAGACCACAAGAGGAAGGCTTAAGTAGATAATACCGTCACTTCTACAGAGGAAGTAAGTGGGGCTGCGAGCTCTTTGAGAGAATGGCCATGTTTAAGGGATATTTCCGCACAGTCATTTAACTCCTTTAATGGAAAATAGGTGCTCAGTATACTGTTGAATAAATGAATAATAAATACCAAAGGCTCCATATATATTTAATTTATTAAAACATTTAAAAATATGGATTTACACAACACTACCACAGACATTTGTTCCCGACTTCTGCATTCCAGTCACCCATTAT